TTCATTAAATTATAGTCCATGTTATGAATTATGTGTGCTATTCAGTTTCATTAAAAGTAAATTCCTTTCATGGAGAACGTAATTAAAAAACAGAACAGAATATCAACAGGATACAAAACTGTCTAGACTGTTGACTGTTGTTTTAAGGATATTTCACTACATTTTTCCTTCTTGAACTTCATAAGAGCATTTTCTCAAAAGATTAATTTTTTATTACTTATACAAAGCTTACACCATTGAATTGACTATTGTGACTATTCTTAAATAAGTGAAAATAGTTTTTTTTTATTTTTTTAAAGTAATATTTTTACTTACATATTACAATATATATATAAAAAAATTCAGATTCTTGATATTGATTTGATGTTTTAGTAAAATTAATTCATGGAGTTTGTTTGGAAAAATCAGCATTTGAAGCAAATAGCAATACAATATTTCCAGCTTTTTCAATAAATTTGTTCTTAAATACAAAAAGAATTAAACAGGAAGAAAATGATAGTAATAATTGATACAAAAATAATAAACAGAAAGAAAGTAATAATAATAATTTAAGCAGAAAAAATAAAATTTTTGCAAGCATGCATTTTTCAAGAATTTTCATAATAAAATAAAAAAATAATGGATGGGATCAATCATCTACAGCAGGGTTTCTTAAACTTTTTCAGTCGCAACCCCTTTTTATCACCACAGATTTTTTCCCGACCCCCAGGACCCCATAATATTTACAAAAATTTTGTTTGACCCCATAAGTATTGCGCAAATCCGACACGCGCGTGAGTGAAACTGTGAATTTTTTCACTTGTACTGTAATATACTATTGCAGTTTTAGGTCATTTACTTTAATTTCTTCTTTTAAGACATTAAACAATGTGAAAATTTTAAATAAGTAACAGACGAAATGACAGCGTCACGTGCAAAGCAAGGAAGATGAACGTTTATATTATAAAAAGAATACGTCGAAACGTTTTCGTTTTTTTCTTTGTTTGTATTGCCTTATCTTTATCTATTTTCAGATACATTATGTAAAAATATTTGGTAATTGTAAAATTATTATAATAAGTTAAAGAAATATCAAAACTACTAAAATTTTTGACGATCCCCTGCTGCAGTGGGGGTCGCGACCCACAGTTTAAGAAACCCTGATCTACAGGATCATATACAGCGTGCATGATCCTGAGCTTAACTTTCGCATTACGAGTTTCATCCATATTTTTCAATTATTATGCAAACTCATTAAAATGCATGTCATAATTGTAGATTTCTTGCGAGATCACCTCATTATTTCGTTCAGATACGATTACAACTCATTCGGATACGATGTGCTCCATATTAAAAAAAAGTCGCCTTCGATCTAACAGCGAAATCGTCTGTAGAAAGCCGCTTCGTTTTAGCTTCGCTCTGATTGGTCAACGCTTATACCAAACTCGGCGTAAAGTTGAAAACTTGGAACCTTATGCCATGAGCCCTAAACCAGATTTTGTGACGTAGCACAGACTGGTTTGCCTTGACAACGGAGCTCGGCTTTAACCACTTATGCCCTTTATGCCCCCCGTCTGAACGCAGCTTAAGTTTGCATCGTGGTTCCCATGATAAGAATGCTTTTCGTAAAATTTCCACGGTATTGATTTCTATTCCTCTTCCCCTACTTTACAGATTGCATCAATCGTGGTGGATTTGCACTTAGAAAGAGCTTTCTCCAAGCAAACAAAGGCAATGTAGTCCACGGGTAAAATGTTAGGGGAATTTGCAGGAATACGTTGAAAAGGTGTGTATGCAATATCTGCATCAGTCTTCAGCTTTTCAAGGAATACAATGGTATTTTCCGAAGTATGACTTGTTGCTTTGTATTTATGAAGTTTAACTCTTCGAAAGTCAAGTGGATAAGGAAATGAAATTTCTTCCGTAAGTATCGGACAAAAAAACCTTTCCTTGATAGTACGTTGAATTGATTTTTAACATTTTCCCTCCAGTATTAATAATTTTAATTTCGTACTGTAAGAGAATCCTGCGACAATTATATACACATTACTAAAACTTTCTTTGCATTGACTCATCAAGGTTTGTACATTTTGTGTCTTCATTTTCTATGTAGACCTTTCTTTTGTTGCATTCATTTAAATAAACCAATGCTTTATCTAGGTTTACAACGTATTTTCATGTATCTCCTGTTCAATTGTGTTCATACACGGGTCTAGAAATTATTCTTGAGTCACATGCTTCGGCAAAAGCTGGTGAACATTAGAACATTATGTTTTTTAGCTTTTTTATGCTGTAAATCTTGGTTTCTTATGTCGTTTATTGTTGCTACAGATATATTTAAAGACTTTGCAATTTATTTTTGAGTAGGCGTATTTTCAACGATTTAACTTTAGAAACACGAGAAACAACTACCTAACTTTTTCCAGTATTCGTTTTGAAGTCTTCTTTTCATGTAGAAGTAGTAATTGACGGTTTTCCCTTTCCGATTAATAATGTTGCTTATTCTGCACGTAGAAATTTTAATAACTTGCATTTTACAGCGTTTTTAAATTATGGAATAAGAATATTTCTCTTCGGAAAAAGCAAAAACATATTCTTCAATCTACAGATTGTTCACTTGGGACATTTTGAAAGAAGAGTAAATTTAAATGTAGCAGACGATATTTCTCATTGCAAATAATAAGCTGTCGCCAGAAATTTTTATTGACAAACATTTGCTTTCTTTAACTCTCTATCGACATCGTTCTAAAAATGCGTAAATACTCTCAGTATTATGTTGAGCTCTGGAATATTCTTTTGAATTTCTTTCACTTCGTTTTGTGAAGTTGATGAAGGTATTTAATTGCTCTCCATAGACTGGACAAGCGCTAGCTACGGCGCAATGAGCGGTGTTGTAGGAGGTCCTTTTTTTGTACTAATGTTTCAGTTAAGACTATGAACTTGGAATTGATGCCCATTCCTGAGTCAAGTGCCCACTGCAACACTTTCCAGGATTTTGCAGTTCCTGTCTAGGTGTCCAAACTCTTGGCAATTTCAACACCTTATTATCTTGATGTAAGAGCGGACATGAAAGGAATCAAATCCCACTAACAGTCTACCCCGATTGTTTAGGAGTTCCACGTGCTACGGTTCAATTTCAGTAACCCAGTTCTTCTTGCCAGACTGGCCTGGATTACTGCCTCAGGCTTGAAGAGCGCTTGTATCAAAACTCGGAAGCTGATCTGCTAGAGCAGCCGCGATGTCTCCTAGGTGTATACTTTCTGGAACCACAAAGATGACGTAACTAACTTTTTTGGGCTTCGGTTGTCTGAGTTCCGAAGAATTCTTGAGTAAAGGGCTATCCTGAATTGCTCGTTTTAATCCTTGGAAGTGCGCTTTTTCGCAGCACCTAACCAGAGGTTCTCTGTATCTGGTGGGACGAACCTGTATAATTGAAATTCAGAACAGCTTGGACAGACAGAAAAGCTGTCTTCAGTTCTAAATTCACTTATGCCTTTATGCCTTCTAGTGTTCTTGTTCAGGCTTTGGGTTTTATCAAAAGAACATGATTGGAAAGATCATTCCTTTGATTTTGCAAAAGTGGGGCACACTGTAGTCTCCTCCTTTTATGTGTTACCAATATAGATAGTGCGTCTTTCACGTTTTTCAGCGGTGAAGTAATTGCTGCGGCACATGTGATATTCATTGCACTGTCCGAAGCTAACTTGCCTTGAAAATGCATTGGTGTACAAGGCATTGCTTCTTGTAATTGGACCTCCAGCTGGACAGTTATCCGCTTTTGTTCTACAAGGAAAATCTTTAATCTAGTAAGGTGATTTTAAATCACCTTACTAGATTAAAGATTTAGAATAGACATTAACATCTAGACTACTTATGTTCGGAGGTTCTTTAGAGCTGATGGGACTGCTGATAGTGGAGGGTGGTACTGGTGCCTGAGCAACCACCGAAACTGCTGAACTGCTATTCATTTGGGTGCAGTAGGAAGTAGTTTTCAGCCCTTCCACAAAACTTACTACAAGGCTACTACCATCGCAAGTGACGGATGGTTTCACCGAAGCTCGCATTGTATCTACGAGATATTCAAATTTGAGCTATCTCAATGCATACTTAATTATGTGCATTGGGCGTCTCTGTACCGATCATATATACTGTCAATGTTAATCTGTACAACCATGAAGACAGTAAAGTGACTCATTGCCTTGTTTAATCTCCCAGTAAAGTAATTTCAATACAGAAAAAGGTTTAAAATAAAACTTTTTATTAGTTAATAGTTACCTAACCTGTGTGATAAGAGAAATCAATTACAGAATTTGCGGGGATTACAGAAACAAAGTAAAATTGCAGATATTGTAATGCAATGCGAGCCTATAAATTTTGGCTGAAGCCTTTAATCTCTGGCGATCAATTATGGCTTAAAGGCTGTAGTCGATTCAAGCAATTCAGACTCTGGGAGAAATTGTAGCGAAAAGATTAGCGGCAGATGCGGTAATCTCTTTCTCTTGAATTCAAGAACTCTGTGTTTCGAAGAACATTCTAAATTCCGTATAGGACATTCTGGATGTATGTATATACGTACTCTCAGAATACAGGTATGCTGATTTAGAAGTGTTTCATTGGTGATTCATTAAATATTTTATCAATAATAAAGATGCAGGACTAGAAAAAATAATATTAACAGCAAACATGGTTTCAAGTTATTTTTCTTTTAATAAATACTTAAACTGAGTTGTTTAGGAATCTAACTGGTTGAAAATAATATTGAATTCTGGATAATGTAGCTGTATACACCTGGGAGAAAGAAACGGTTACTCTAAATAGTATTTTATTATCTTGAGGTTTTTATTTATTTGAGTACTTGTCAGTAAATAGTGCTTCATATATTATAACCTCAGTAAATATTATCTTTCGACGGGTACAGTTATAAAGGGAAAATTTAAAATAATAAATATTCTTAGAATATAATTTAGAAAAATTTCAGAATTCATATAAAATTATCATTCCTGTGGAAAAAACAAGAGAGATAAATTTGAAAATAGTTTTTTATTTATCCCTTCTTCGAGATAAACAATTTAAAATTACTGTACAGTAAAGCATAAAACAATCAATTCGTTTAATGACAAATGAACAAATAAGCACTAAATGCTACAGAACACAACTAAGTAAATATATAGAGTTTTATAATGTCAAAGCACATGCATAAAATTTGAATACTAATGCACTTCAATAGCGAGCAAGAGCCAGTTTAAAAATGCAGCAACACATTGTATAATTCAGTAACGAAGATCTCGGAAGGATATAACTAATTTTGTTTCACGGAGTCAAATTTTAAAATATTTTCCTGATATTAGGACACACTGTGTCTATAGCATTTTAAAAACGCTTTTCTTCATTTGCAACGAGAGTTAAAAGGGAGTCAGACAGATATAGCGTCTACTGTATATATAAAAGGTAGTTTTACGTTTGTAGTAGGTGTTCTGTAAAATCTAAAGTACTGTTAATTTAATATTTAAAAATGCTTCACAAAATCAAATTAATCGTTAATGGATACGAAACATCTTATTGGAATGTAATTTAATAATATGTTAGAGTGGCATAAAAGTTAAACAAGTGGAAAATGTTCTAAATTTCAGTAGATGGACTTTCTATGAATACTTCAAATAGTCATTCAAAACTTAATAGCTTTTTTAATATACAATTATCCTAGTTTTTCAAATATTCAAGGGAAAATGTAGCTATTTATCACAATTATTTGAATAATAGGCACAGATCTAAATTAAAAGATTGCAAATTACATAATCTCTCATAGTTTCTGGTTCCAGTAGTTAGGTAACATATTTTTTTTTTTTCTACCGAAGTTTAGAATTCCTAAGTCCGAGGTTTAGAATTCCTGATTTATTTATTAGGAAACATCTGATAATTAAACAATGAATTATTCATATGTTTTATTATAAATTCTGAAATGTCATATTTTAGCATATATGAAAATATTCTGTGATTATTTGAGCTTAAATCTACAGATTGCTGCTTATTTAATCACTAAATTACAAAAATTTAAGAATCACATTTTTTCGGATGTGCCCTTTAACATTTGGAGACATAAATCTATAGAGGCTGCTGATAAAGTAAACATAAAAATTCTTATTCTTGCTGGATTTAGTTCTAAAACATCATTTATTTGTAAACTTTATATATTATATCATCAGAATTCAATATAACGTACATTTTCATTAAATTGCTTATGAAAACATTTCTCATCGGATGCAAAATGTTTCTAACCAGTTAACCACAGTATTTTATGAATATAAACGTTATGTTTTCTATAATTCTTTTGAAATCCTTCTTGGTTAAACTCCATATATAACACATTGCACTAAGCAGTTTGTCTCTCTTCTTATCATTGCTTCATAAACTCTTGTAAAAATATTACATAAAGCTCATTCATTCACTTTGTTATTTGCCACTGAGACAAATCCAGCTTTGCAAATTCATCACAGTTTCTCACAGGATTTCTAAAAATGTCAAAATAGATATATACAGTAAAAATCATATTTAAAGGAATATCAGCAAATATTAATGAGAAACTTTTTATCTATCTCAAGAAAAGGAAGTGATACAATCATTCTTCTATGACTTTACTGATGTTCGTTTTACAATTATTTATTGGTTTCTTTAATTAAGACTTGTGATTAAAGAAATTAGCTGTAAAAGAATGAAGAAATTTCTTCACTTATTTTTCAAGCACGAAAATAAAAATTACAAATGCAAATAAGAATATGACAATTAAATAATAGAAATTTATTAAAGTGATTAATGCTGCATCATTGACTGAAATTTTGTGCATATCGTTATAAATGAAGACTAAAATGGAATCTTGTAAAAAAATTTGAAATGTGATGGGTAAAAAAAGAAAATAATGTTTCCTTGTTTAATCGATTAAGGCAAGGTACCGTAAGTTTTTATAATTAAAGAGAGAGATGCCTTTGTGGAAGACTTTCAAAGGAAAATTGGCTCACATTCACGTTACGCGTAGGGAAAAGATGCAAACGCTCATGTAATCAGCCCGCTCGCCCGGATTAGAACCACGCCGAATTGCTTAGTTTTCTTTTCATTGGACATGGGTGGACCATAAGAACTTTAATTACCCTTATTGCAGAGTAAACATACTATAATATTTGTACATGAAACGTAGGTTGAAAAATATATTTTTGCGCAGTAAATAAACTGGAGGGTCGAAAAGTTTACGTTATGGTTGTACCTGTTGCTAATTAGGACTCAAACTTGAAACTTAGCAATTAAAATTAGCAGGCATGGCCAAGCTGCGGCTCGTGAGCCGCATGAGGCTATTTGGATAATGCGACTCCCCTGGAACAAACTTCTACAACTGTTTCAGGTTTGAAATATAATGGCATTTTGAAACAGAAGTTATGCAAAAGACATGTTTCTTTACTAATCAAGAATTTAATTTCTAAAATCGCATTTTATTCGTAAAAACTTATTAAATTTCAAATTGTCAGTCGTGTTCAAATAGCATGTTCGCAAATTAAATTATACGATAAACACTCTAACACATAATGATTTTATGATTTTTTATAGCTACTAGTAATGAAACCGTGATAAATAACGCTAAAATTTCAGAACTCATTATTCATTTGCGATTCCAGGGTAAATTTAAATTCGTATTATATTTTAAGGCATAGGTTAAGAAAGATTTGATTTAATTTCATCTTCTGAAATTAACACTTTGCACTGGAAAGATATCAGTTGCAGATTATTGCTTAAAAAATGCACGGATCAAATCACTATGCACACAAGTTGCCGGCATGTTTTAAGTACAAGGTCTTATTGCTAATGATTTTACTGTCAGGCGGATGAAATTAGGAACAAGTAAACAATTAAGTAATCCCTTTATTAAATAAAAAACTTCACTCTTTTATACCAATTCTTCTTAACTAAATTAAATTTTTTGGGGGGGGTTGAAATGTACAGCTTGTTAGAACAACGTAGCCTAGAAAAAACAAAGCATAACTAAAAACTGCAAACGTGTATTTAAATTGAGATTCAATTTATTTCTACCTTTGTAAAAGAAATTCTGAGAGAACTATTTATTGTTTTGCATATACAATAAATCAAAAGATTATTGACAAAGTTAAAAAGAATATAGAGAAGTCGGAATATAAGGAAATTAATGTCTTTTGAAATAATAAATATTCATTAAACAATTCAATCATTTTTGATTCAACACAAGTTGTTTAGTCCCCAGAGCTAGTTATACGAGCTATTTCAATAATTATCATTTTAGAACCCATTAATATTTCAAATCATAATATATCTTTATGCAGTTATAAAGTCTGGTATCCTTAGGAAGCATTCACTACGGTCTTTAAACAGACTATAGAAGAATTATCGTCTTGTCTTGTGATTACAAAAACAAAAGTCAGAAGAAGAATGTATAAGACCCTTTTATTTGAACACAAAGAAAAAACAATGACCCAACTTGGGTTTACACAAGCCAAGATTTCTGGCTTAACTTAAATACGTAATGCTGAACTAAAATCAAATGTAAAAGATCAGCCTAACGACTAACAGGATAAAGTAATGCGCAGGAAAGGCTCTGATTTGTAGAAAGCCAGCAAGACAAGCCTAATGGCTAGAAGCACTCAACGCTACAGAATCAAATCGCTATTAAGTTAAGGTAACAACGTGGACTCAAGTAGGCAGATCATGCTCTAAAATCAACTTGCGAAGCCTTCGCTTAAACAGTACTTCTTTCTCCCTCAATCTGAATCAGTTACATTCTGTCATACAATCTATCTCAGTTACATTCTGTCATCAAAAGTGGAGATGAAAAGAGATTGACAGAAAAGTACTTCAACTTAAAATTAACTATTAGTTAAAAATAAATAGATATATCCTCACACAGTTAACAAAAATAAGGTATTTTAAAATACAGCATTTACAATCTATTGCAAATGCAACCTATCGTAAATTTAAGTGCCTTTCGTAACGCATAATTCAAATTTTCTTTTCTTCAACCTGACCTCAAAAGAGTTTTTGTTTATTTCAGTTTAGAAAAACTCCTCTCTGTTCCCATTATTGACACAGGACTTTTTCCTCCACCCACCTCAAAAAAGAAAGTCATTAGGTGATTCGTATGGTTAGGATAACGATCTTGTGAAGAGATACGTATAGCATATGAATGTAGGAAATAAAATTTTTTTTATTATTTTGGACCCTTCCAGAAATCAGATCTTGTAAGCTGTACTATTCTTTGGTCATCTCTTCAACATTAGTACTATCACACTTATAGATGATCACTGTAAACTCGGTCGTCTTTTATCTTAAAGGAAGTTTCAAATCTTTGCAGTTTAATCAGCTTCTATGTAGTTCTTAATAATCATAAGGAAATGGAAAATTTATGCTCGCCGTGATGAATTATTCAAATGATTTCTGCCCTCAAAAGCTCTAAATACATTTTTTTTATTTAGACCTGTCTGACGTCACTGAAGTAAGCACTACGATTTTTTTCTAAAACTGCGTTTCTTTTTAAGCATCCTTGAAAACTGATAATGGATTATTCGTTTATTTCTTCGACTTCTAATGGTTTTGAATACAGGTTCAACATCTGAATTTTCTGCTAAATCTCGATATCAAACATAGGGCCTTTAAATCCATCATCCCCAGGGATGGGTGGGAGTGGTCTAATCGGCCCAGACATCTTGAAAAAAAAAAAAAAAGTGCTGGCACATTTTTGTCTTCAAATTCATGTCTTTCGCAAAGACAAAAAGATGCTGAGGCATAAATGTGCCAGCACATTTTCCCGCGTTGACAGCCGCTCGTCGAGACACTAGGTTCTCTGATATAAAGCCAGAAATGTGGCGGCATTTTTATGAAGTTCGGTTTTATAAAGAAAGCAGTCCTCAACAGTGCTGTTGGGATAGCCATGTTAAGTTCTCAATCTTAGCGAGCGGCTGCCTACTTGCATAAAGATGCAGGCACCTTAATAACTTTTTACGAAACCTTCCAGGTGGCGGACATAAAAATTGCATTGCAACAGATTCATAACAAAAATGTCATAGCTCGCCGCAGATTCATAACAAACAGTTATGAATCTGCGGCGAGCTAACGACGGCGGGATTTAAGGCGTCGAGTTTAATATCATTACCGTTAGTTTATCTTTCGAATTTTTGAGTGGCGTTACATCTTTTTCTTTCTACGATGATTTTATCGATTTATCTGCATGAATTCCATAGTTATGATTAATGTCTCAAGTGTTTAAACCATCGATTTCAAGTAACAAAACAGACACAGGTACCGGCGCCTCGTGAATTTTCCAGAATTTCCGGTAGCCCAATCTGCCCATGATCATCCCTATAATAAATCAAGAAAATTTGCAGGTCATTTTTTTAAGATTTTACGTAAGGATGTTCAAATATTTGTAAGTACGGCTCAGTCGCTTATAGCACTATACACTGTTTAATAATTTGTACCTGCCACTCCACGAAAAAAAAAAAAAAAAAAAAAAAAAAAAAAAAAAAAAAAAAAACTGCCGTTCTTGAAAGCAACGTGGCTTTCTCTTTCCGAAAAATGGAGCCCTAAGCAATTGCTTATGATGGCTATGCTTAGAGCCGGGCGAAACACAGTACAGTGAATGGCGTGGATTTTAGTGTGGGAGTGGTCATCCTATGCAAAGAAATGCGGTAATTCACGGTGACCTCTCTGAGCTCGAGTTTTAAGCACAGTTTAAAGTAATATAACAAAGTATGAGGAAAAGTTGATATTAAGAAAGCTCTTGATACTGTATCTAAACTAATGCCTCTTTGTACAATACGATAAAGAAAATACTGTTATTCCTAATATCATAAAGAACGTATTCAGTCAGGATTACTTTGGATATCATTGTTTCCTATTCAAAAGTTCCTATATTTCGGTTCTTTTACAATCTCCGTATGTTTGCTAGGCGTCTTTTGACTCCTCTTCTGCAGGAAAAACTGAAAATGTCCTCGCTATCAGTTTGCTACAACAAGAAACGAACTTCATAATTACGACTGTTAGCAAATTATAACACTCTTGACATATGAAGAAGGCAACAATTACCAACCTTCGCTGTTAGCAAATATTAAGTGCTAGATCATAAAAAAATCTTGGATGTATTGAATTGAATTATTTAGATTATGGCAAAGCAATCGAGGGCTATCTTCCTTAGGAGGAGATGCCTTCGTGGAGCAGACTTTAAGGAAACTGGCTCATATCCCCGTTCACCTGGGGAAAACCTGAAAAGTTCCATGCAGCTAGCTCATTTGCCGGGGATTTGAACACGTGTCAAGCTGCCAGTATTCAGCAATTTTGCTGCTCGGCTGCTGACGAACTGATAAATCTTGAATAGAGAGTACATTTTACATATTCAAATATAAAGATGGTATATATTAGATTTAACATTAACATTTTTCAAACAAATAAAAAGACAATATCTATCAGATTTAACATTAACAGTGTCAGATTTAACATTAACTTCAGTACTTACTCTACAGATGGAATTCTGAAAGGATGCTTTTGTATCATATCAATGCTGTCCGAATTATCACAAATTATCCTTGCCATGTTGGATTTGTATATTTCTTTCAGTTGCCCTAAAATACGTAAATTAAATAAACCACGAATGAATTTATTTTCATGAAACTGATTTCAAATATCGTTTGTATTGCAAGAATATAAAACTTCTATAAAATAATGCAAAAATGTAATTCACGTTAACTGTAATGCTTTTTCATTACATATTTTGTATAAACAATATAAACTTCTGGTAGTTTGCGTGCTTTAATAACAGATATGTTAATTTTGACGTTAGAAACGTCTATATTCTGCAATGTTTGTGTTATTATAATGTTACAATACGAGCAATATTAATTGTTGATGTAGCCTGCCAAATTGCCATTCTTCACAGTTGTTACGAGTCTTGCGGAAAAATTCTTCATACGTTTTCTGCTAAATTGCAAAGCCGATCTTGGGACAGGAGATTTTTAACTTATCTTTCAAATTATAAAACTGCGTTGCTCATAATGTGATAGCATATGAACTTCTTTATAATTAAAATGCTGTTTGATGTAGTTTATTATAACATGTTTAACGGAAAATATTTCAATCAGTGTTACCGTCAGTTTAATTCATAAAAAGTGTTTCTACTATCATGTATTACAAATTCGGCTTCTATAAAGCAGTTCTTCAGCTCTTAGCTCTAAGAAACAAGAGCTATATTTAAGTTCTTTTAAGTATGTACTTTGAAATTTTCTGCTGGAAGTTAAAAGAAATTCTTTTCTTTCTTTAAATTTATTAAACATAATTCCGTTTCCCAGCCTTTCGTTTCGAGGCACTTGTTTTAATTTAATAAACGTATCTTTAATTTGGAACGAAACCATGCTCATTTGTATAATAAAATATTCAACACAATGAAGATTACGCAGAGGTTTTCAGTAATTCAGGAAGTGACTTTGTAGGCTATGGTAATTTCGGTACGATGGTTTAGTAGTGGATACCACAAAATGCAGTTTTTTTAAAATTATAATTATTCTATTGAAGCAAATTTTCAATGCTTCCAAACTTGTAATATACATATTTAATTTTACAAGATCAGGTAACTAAACAGAACACATATTTAACTGCATGGTAATTTAATGATACTCAATAGTTATTAAAAGTTTGATAATATCTGATAGAAATCAAAAGCAAATTTCTCAAAGTTATTTCATATTCAAAGAGAAATTTATGAATGCAGTGGCTTCGACGAGCATTATGCATTGCTTAAATGATGACTTAAAGTGAGTAAAGAAATAGCATAGCACTGTGTTTAGTAATATATAAACGTAGCACCGTGTTTCAAACAGTGTATTTAACTAAAAATTAATAAAAAAAGACAGTTTACAAACAATTAAACATTTACACTAAACTGCTGGAAAACTTAAAAAGGATGATGAATGCGAGGGCAGAATAACATTAAATATATGAGGTGTAATGTAGCAGACCTCCACGCGGAGTACCCTGGTTAATATTAAATCTTCTACGGCTTTGCCTCCTTCCTTGTGTCTCTGGACATTTTACTCAGAATTTTTGCAAGATGTGTAAAGCTTTGAGACTGCTTCAGTCGAATGCTGGCGGCCTCTCAAATGAAAAAAGGACTCAACACTCCTAACTGTTCCAGATAAGAAGGATGGTGATGTGTTTTCCATTGATGAAGCTAATCCGACTTCAGAATCCTTAAAATTCCACAATTTCCCTGGATACTCCTTACATATATTACCTAAATCAAGACGAGTCGCAAGTGGTATTCATGTTGGACTAAAGAAATCTCTTACTTCTTCTTTCACAATTATTAGTGACTTAGGCTCTATCAGTGGCACTGAGTTAGTTTGCACTGACATTTGCAAAACCGATGTCCGTTTTACAATTTTTATGTGCTACAGCCCACCTGGTAACACAAAATTAAATTTCGACACTCTCTCTTTCTCCAGAAAGACAGTCCTAATGGGTGATTTCAATGCTCATAGCACTAGATGGAACTATGCTGACTACAATAGTGCAGGCAGAGTAATAGAAGATCTTCTCAACTCAACTCCTTTAAATCTTCTATACCACCTATCCGATGTTCTCACTCTTCGGCCTGATGTTCCGATGTTCTCCATTACGACGGCAGATCTACAAATCCTGACCTAACTATGGTTTCAGACGGTCTAGAAACTAACGCCGTAAGAAATGTAACTCATGACCCCGGCTCTGGACACAGAGCGATCATTACAACAATCAAGGAAACTACTCCTATAAAAAGAAATGCCAAATATAGTAGATTACAACGCAGATGGAACTTTAAAAAAGTCCAATTGGAATGCATTTACTGCAGATCTAGAACAGATTTTTGAAGATGATAATACATTCCATATTGGGAGCATTGATACTTCGTTTAAGAGGTTCTGTGAGACAATCCACAAAGTTGCTAAAAAGTGTATTCGCAGAGGAAAACCTAGCAATTACAAACCATTATGGTCTCCGCATCTCCAGGCCCCGAGAGACCAGTGCAACAAGGATCGTATTTCTGCTGAGCAGTCAAAGAGGGCCGAAAAAGTACAAAACTGAAGAAAATGTGTTGCTTACCTTTAAAAGAAAATTTATTAGGCAAAGTGGAAAAGTTTTAATTCTTTTATCAGCATGATGAATTATAAATCTGATTCTAAGAAAGCTTTTAAGCATGTTAACAATATAAAGGCTGGCCGTTCCCAAATTACTAGGGCCCTCTTCAAGGATCGTCATGGAATTTTAACTAGGGACAAAGATACTTCAAATGCATTTATCTCGTTTTATTCTTAATCACAGAGACTGAGTCAAGATTACAGGAGAACTCAAAAAATGCTGAAAAGTAACATTCACAAAGCTATAACTGGTCTTGGCCCGCATCAGTGGGTGTTTAGTGCCGACTTTACCAAATTTGAACTCGAAGACTCCATTAAGTACCTTAAAAACGGAAGAAGTCTGTCCAGACTGTCTTCACCCAGAATTTATTAAGAAGCTTGGGCCTAATGGTTTTCAGTGCTTTTAATGCTGATCAACAGAAGCTGGAACTCTAACGTACCAGCCATTTAGAAGAAAGCTATTATTGTCCCAATACATAAGCAGGGCAAACTTTCTGACAAATTCGATGGATTATTATTATTATTATTATTATTATTATTATTATTATTATTATAAGAGCACAGCCCCGATCCTCCTAGCCGGCACAAGCCGGCTGTATGATAAAAAAATGGGAATGGCCAGAAAAAAACAAATATAAAGGGGGAAAACATATAAAGTCCAAAATCTGAGTCTCAGTGCCGAATCCCAACTCTATCTTTGTTCGTATTTATAATCTTCATTATTGTCTCTGCAAAATCTTTCAAATTTGAATAGTTCCTTTTAAAATCTTTCTTAAAATTTTTTCTATATTTCTCTCTTGCACTTTGGGTAAGCGTACATTCATCGACGAAGTGCCTGGCGTTCCCAAACTTATCACAAATTAAGCATTTATCATTATTCTATAGATGGAACCGGTTTAAATAAGCCGGGAAACGCCCATGATTAGTCAGTACCTGATTTATATCAACATTATTTATAATATTCATCTTCTTGTTTAACTTTATATTTTTCATTAACTCGTTTTTCTTATTAGACGACTCCCAGCAAAAATTTCATTCTGTATAAATCCAGTTTTTCCTTTCAGCAATGGTCTTTTTTCTTGAATCTTGGATATAAAAATTATTAGTCCCATCCCAAAGTGCCGCCATTTTAGCAAGGGTGTCCGCTCTTTCATGTCCGCCATGACTGTTTGCCCGCATAAATATTGGAAGGCTAGAGATCTAATGGCGTCATAGACAATCTTCTGGGCATTTGTAATAAATAAATAAATATTAAATATAGTATTTCAAAATTTAGTTTGATCTCCATTTGCTCGACGAACACATTTTATCCTTGTTGGAACTAATTTGATAAATTTGAAAGTAATTTTAGGGTGAAAGTTTTCTAATTCTTCTGATATCAGAAGTATTAGCTCTACCTTAGACGGAACAGCTTGTTTTACAGTTCTTAATTCCAGCTTTTCTAAATATACGTGTAGGGTTTAGATACGAAGATTTGGGAGTTTTATTGGATGTCATTAGGGCAGTTATATTCTTAGAACAGCTAAACATGAACACAAATGCCTGCTGTTTTGGATTACTGCCTTGGCAGAATTTAAAACTGCTGCGCAGGCCAAATACTCTAGATTTCTTAAAATCAGTTTAGTATACTTGAATACATTTGATGGACTCTCATATCTTCATTAGAACCTAATAACTATTGCCACAGCAAACACGATTCGAAATTACCGCATCTTATCAACCATGTTTTACTGTCAGCACTAAGTTCATTGTTTCAAGTAATTAATTCGGTTTTTATTCATAATACTTGATTTCCATTCAAGCCAAAAGTATTAAATCCATTTTTATTAGAAACAATCTTATTATCTGCCCCCCCCCCCCCCAAAAAAAAAGTTCTCTGCATCCGATTTGACAAGAAAAAAATGAATAATGTCACAGAATAATGTAAAAATTGAAGTGAATTATAAATTTAATTAAACAAAATCGTATTAATGGTAATCGTATTAATGGTTAATCAATAATTACATGCAATTCCTAAATTTCTTTTTCGTTGTTTTTCAGTTTCACCATAAGGTAATAATTTTCTAACAGCCAAATTCATAACAAATAATGGTAGTCTTGATAGTTGAATTTGGTCTAACAGCCAAATTCAACTATTTCGATTTTCATGTATGTGATGGGAACTTTCCTCGAACTTGCTTGAAAAGATAGAGATAAGAAATGTAAAAATATAAGTTTAATTACTGATTACTTGATGTCCTATAGTTGTACTTAAAGTAAAGTAAAATATGACTTTTCCGAAAGTCTTTTGAACAAACAAGAACAAGAAATGTAAAAAAAAATGTTTCATAAATTATTACAAGATGTCACATTGTAGTGTTAAATGCAAGTAAAACAAAAATTTTACCTTCCGTAAAAGAAGTGAGTTCTTTCTGTCTTTCAAACCAGAATCTATCGCCTTTTCTTGTCTTCTTAAATTGTCTTCCAATGATACATAAATAAGTTGGTCCGAGAAGCGATCCCTCTACATGATTTTCAGACAAAGCTCCGGGTATCAAATCTATATCGTCCACTGACCTTAAATATGAAACAACGGCTTAATACACAAACCGAGATTCAAATGACTTGGCTCAATTGAGACAGCTAATATTTTTGGTCAATATTAAAGGAAAAATTAAAGCAATCAGACGTTCACATCAAATATTAAAGAAGTTTTATCTCACAATTTTCATCCTTATAGAAATATACAATTCTTTTATTATAGAAAGAAAGACGGAATAGATGTTGAAGACAGAAAACATTTTTTAATGAGAAGCTCTCATCCACCTTTTTCATTATCATGCTTCAGCATTCCATATATAGCATAATTTAGGATATCATAAGTATATAATTTTATGCTTACTCATAAGCATCCTTTAATTTCTCAGCATGTTCTAAATCCATCGCGGAAAGAAGATCATCCCAAGTTTTTATTTCACTCAGTCCACAAACTTCTCTCCATTTGGGATAGGATGGTAATCCATGATCTCTTCCTCTCTGTATTCCAACAGCAGCTAAATCATGTCCATAATCCCGATCAGCTGGTTGAAAAAGATGCTCGCGAACCTGAAATGCACATTCAGAATAATTAAACAATTTTTTATTCATTCGCTTACTAGGGCGAATTCATTCGTTTTTTATTCATTCGAACTAGGCCTCTATTTTATTATTTATGCTGTGGCAGTTGTCTTAATTTCCTAACAGTTAAATGTTAAATTCTTGTACTATCCTGTTTCTTCTGGGCGTTTTTAGGCGGCTGCTCTTGCATTGCCAGCTGATAGTGACTTTAAAACCCCACTGGAGATAAGAGGGAGTTTAGAGCTGAGCGTTCGAATACTTCCAGATGTCTAGTTATTTTACTTTTAAAACTGTAAATTCTTAGCGGCTCATGCTGGTGCGTGTCGTTCGCAAGCAACTGGATCTTCTTTTTCTGTTGGGCATTATTTGAACTTAGATTACCATTCGCGGTTCAGGTAGATTTTTGGCTATTGTTTATTTAGCAGTCATAACTTTATTCTTGGGTTGCCGATGAGACACCTGGAAAACCTAAGTTAGGGCGTTAAATTAAATACAAGCTGCAAAGCAGAGAATTTAAGTTTAGAGCAACAATGGGATATACTAAAGATATTGTTTAATACGAAAGAGCACCTATTTTAATACTCACGAAAGCAATCACGAAAGTGTTTGAAACAATTCATAATAGAAAAGCCTGCAAATAAGATATTTATGACTGATAACGAATGCATTTTTGAGAGAATGAAACTAACTTTATGGATATGAAAACTTGGATACGAACAAACTCTATATATTATAATGTGTTACTTAATCCCGTCTTAATTGAAAACGCCAGTGTCTAAAAATAATTTGAATAGCAAGTGGCGTCATTCTAACATATACAAACTTAATTTATGAAAGATATGTGTAAAACATTTCTCGGGCTGAGAAGGCCTTTATATAGAATCTTTTAAATAACGCGTAAAAACTCGTGTAGCATACACTGCTGCCGTAAACACGTAACGTACAAGAGGAAGAAATGGATTCATCCCCAAAAGATATCGGTATTGCAACAAAGTCTAAATAATCGATGATGATAATGAAAGAAGCAATGAATAAAGGTAATATTAAACAAAAGAGAAAGGCAAACGCAAAAGAAATTTAATAGAAAGTACCAAAATAGGGTTTCTGAATAATAATTAAAAGGTTTTCTCGCATTTCTCAGTACATTGTGTCAATCATGGCGTTCTGGAAAACAATAAGACATTATCATGGTATGCCGGGAATTGCCTTATACAAAAGCTGCAGAGAAAGTCTCAGTCTAAAGTGGTAGAAGTAGGATTAGTTGCATAATAGTTAATTGAAGTGGAATACGAGACATCTTAGTTCGACGATATTTGAATATACTATAATCAGAAAATAGAAACGATAACAAGTATATATGGTAGAGAATGCTAATATGAAATTTAAAATCAGGCAGAACTCCCCCTTAATTGAACTCTAATACCTATCTTCCTCGAAATGCAAACTCCATAAAACCAACATTTATCTAAAGTTATTTTTTACACAGTTTTAAATGTAACTGATATTTTTAAAGACGGGTGGCGATATAGATCACAATACCCTTTTAACAGATTCTGAGACTTGTGAACCGCGATAAACAGGTAAGCATGACAGCTACACTACAACAAATGTGTTTTAGGATTCAAATTAAAGATGTAATAAACGCTGTTTTTCAGTATGTTCCTGGGAGGTCTCATAATATATAGTATGCTATTTTTTGCATTATAGGGATTAAAATATTCTACGAAACGTATGGTTTGTTAAAAGTGACTGGGATCAGTTTGTGGGGTTCCAACCTTTTCTCTAACAGCTAAGTGTGCAGGAAACTCGTGAACTGGCAAACGAATAATCGCATTAGTTCAGGAACGTAAACTAAAGAAGGTCTAATTACCCTTTATTTCTCAAAATAAGAATTTAACAGTCGGCTCCTTTCTCAGAGCGTACAGAAAAGCCTCCACTTGGGCTTGAATTCAAAAGTACTAAGAAATAAAACTTAACTAATGCTTAACTAAAAAGGTATAGCCGAAGTTATCAAAATTCTGAGTAGTTCGCCCGTAAATATCAACTAAACTGGCGAAGCTATCAAAGGCCTGAAATACGGTCGGGCGTAGTAATAGCTTAGAGAGAGAGTAGCTACAAGGCAAACGCGCGCTAGTTAGAATCTCTGACTCTGTAACGAAGTCCGTGAAACTTAAATACCGCTCTTACAATTTGCATTAACCATGATTCTAAAAACGCATTCTGGTAGGAAATTGTAAGCTGAAATTAGGAGGGATAGGAAAGTAGCTTTAATTAAAGATAACTGTTAAAAACTTAGGATAAACCTTACAAGTTATTCCTCAACACTTCTCATATGACTGGTTGAAATTTCAACAGACGTTCAGTCAAATCAATAATTGTGAATTTCAGAGATGAGTCATACTTTCAACAGACAGTGCTATTAAACTACGTGGGTTTTGTGATGCTTCTTCGTTGGCCTATGCAGCAGCCATCCACTGTTGCCAAAAATGCAATGGTATGGTTAGTATTAATCTTTCGGTATCAAAGACTAAAGTCGGGCCTATAAAACAAGTATCTATTCTTTGATTAGAACTCTGTGTCGCATACTTGTTGACCAGGTTATTTCGAGCTCCCCTGAATACTTTAAGAAAATTTAATTTTGAAATTTATGCCCAAGTGGATCCCAAGGTCTTGCCTATCCGTTCATCCACGCAAGTGGGAAACTTTTGTTACAGATAGAACATCTCGAATTATAGAAGTATACCTATTAGACGTCGGAATCATGGCTCTTCTAAAAAACAATCTGCGACATTGCATCTCATGGTTTTGAACCTCAGCTTATACCGACATGTACTTTGTAGTAGAATGGTCTACCATGGCTCGATTAGAAGGAGAAAAACTGGTCTCAGTATGAATTAAGATCTGAAGTTGATCCCGAAGTAAAGGCTGAACAAAGATCTGACACTAATTTTATTTCTCATATAATTTTTGAATTTTGATAACTTCGGCGTGAACCGAATGGGTTACTAATTAATTCATTCGAACATTATTTATTCCTTTGTAAGATTATTAGCATTCTGGCTTACTGCCAACGATTTACTACTAATTGTAAGAAGCACATTAATACTCGAAACATTTCGAGTAGCGGTATTTATTCCAACTGCCTTGTGCACTAACATTTCTAGAGATTGGAGTAGCAGAAAAGATCATTGTTCATTGGATTCAGAATCTTTATTTCCAAGATGATTTGGAATATATCAAGGGCAAGAAATATAATTTAAAAGTACATTTGCCGCAAAACGGTAATTTACACGAACATGCAGAAAATGAGACGTGGTTTGGCTGCTTTCAGGCAATAAATAATTGCGAAAATTTGAAAGTCTGTGTTAACAGTTTCTTCACATAATTTAATTATTGATATAATATTCATACTAATAGGCTGCTTATTAAATAAACAAAACAGGCCGCTTATTAAAACTATTAAGTTATTTGTTTTGATGACCCTCTAATTAATACTGGCTAATCAGGTGTTCTATAGTCGCAGTAATAATTTTGTATAAATGGGAATACATTTGCACAAGCATTAAGAGTTTTAATGTTGGAAAAATTCAATTTTCACAGAAAAACTGCTTTGAATTTTACGGAAAAATCTAAATTAACTAGTAACTGCTTAAAATTTCTTTCATAAAAATTTTAAGAATGCTATGAAGGTGAACAAGTTACTCTAGTGTGGTTAAATATAAGTTTTAGAAGCAAAAACTTCCATTTCACTATATAATTGTATTAGTAGAAAGCATTTTATATCACCTTACCGACTTTCAAACCGCCGTACTAATGTGAATGCAGTGTTACAGACTTATCCATCTGTAAATATCGTGCATGGTATTCTTCATATAAGGTCTACAGGTGTTATACTACACTAGGTAATGAGATGTAAGACCATCCACCGTAGATGAATTTTTTTTACAATGGCGGGCACTTGCCTATAACTGCATTGGACAGTCCTGAGGCCAGAAGTGATGGCCATTTTATTGTGGAGGCACCTAACAGGCGGCCAACGTTACCTCCTATGAAGGGACAGACAATTTTAAATTCATACCTTCTCCGGGATTCGAAACTAGGCCCTTCGGTCTCGCAGTCAGGCTCCCCTAACCACTATATCGTCTGGGCGGCACGAAGATGAATTAACAGACTTTGTTTCGAATTCATAGTAGATAACTTTTAGAATGTTGAATCAATATAAAATCATTAAAATTTAAAAAAAATCTAGTTTTCCTTGGCAATTAATTAAAACCTTGACTCCTCTGTATCAAATGCCATCAAGGAGTAATAATAAAAAAGGGGCATATTAAAATTTAAAAATAAAAGTGATATATTTATGAAAGTTAGACATAATTGCTCTTGCTGAGTTATATAGTTTTTAGAACATTTATGAATAACACTTTAGATGATACCCTGTATCTAACAATTAAATTAACCTTTATTTATAAAATTAATACTTCCCTAATAATTTGCATGTTACTGGTAACGGTTGTTAAAAAATTAATAAATTTGTGGTAAGTTTTATATTTACTATTTATATTTTAAATTGGTATCAATTAAAAATATAATCCTCAAACAATAATTAGAATGCTTTGTTATACATATGGAAATGCAAAACAGCGTCAGTGTGCAAGTCTTATGTATTCATATAAAACATATATCAAAGAGAGATTATTTTTTATGTAAAGCATAAATAAATGCAATAATGAATAAACGGAAGCCAGATGGCGCATCATATACAAGACAATTAACAATTTTGAGAAATGAGTTTTGAATTACTTCATTTGTGATGTAACTGTCCACTGAATGTGCTCTTTGAAAAGCTGCCCCTCTGAGTAGTAAATCAAGACCATTGTGGTAGAGCAACTGGGGATTGAAAAATGTTTCATGCAGCAAAACATTTCCTTCTGTTTTATTATCCGGTCCAATAAGGTCCAGTGTTCCCTGTTACATTAATAAAAACTAATTTAAATATAAAGTAAGAGGAACAAATAGAAATAATATCATTTCAGAATAGAATAATTCTCAAATACAAAGTAATTACTAGTCCAGTGTGTATTAAAATCATATTAAATTAAGAAATGCTTGAAATGTTAAACTCGATGCACTCTAATAAATTACCTACAAAACTTATGCCAAGACTGTAGATTTGTTACCTTTTCAGTTGCGCCAACCTCAGCTTCATTGCATAATAAATTATCACAAAATAAAAATAAAAACTATTTTATTCATGATAGAAGACAATTGTTTTCAGCTAAAATAAATATTGTTTGCGTCTACGTTAATGTCTAATGCAGTTAAATATTACTTGCTTCTAAAATGGTACATGTGAAAATGTTTTCGATCGAATGTCATGCTTTTTTCGTTTTTTTTTTTAAAAGGAATTTCTTCAATTTGTAATTTAAAAAAATACTGTAGATATTTCCGAGTTAATATTTTAACACGCAAGATAAGCAATAGGTTTCGTAATAAAGGTAAAGCATCCAAACATACCTAATATGTATTAAAAAAACTAACAATGTTTACTAGAGAAAATGTGTACAGCTGTTTCAGATGTAAAGTTTTAAATTTCAAAAGAAAATCACCCCCCCCAATTAAAGAAATATTGTAATGTCTTTAATTGTTAATCCTGTTACGGTAACAGTGTATATATAGAAAAAGAGTATTTAAATCTTAAAAAGCACCAAAATCTTTCAGTCTTTAAAAGCGCACGATAACATCTCCTTTGACATAAACGTACTTAGAATATGCCATAAAATTCTTGATAAAAATTATTTAGCCATACTGAAATAAAAATATTTGTGAATTGTTATAGAAGAGGAATTTATTCAAATTACTGTAATACAAAATAGATTTGCTATCAAAAGAGCACAGAAAAATAATTACAAGCTTCATTTCATAAAATTAAAGACAGTTTCAGTAAAGAATTTATGATTGCTATCGGTTTCGATAAAGCGAAAAACTGCAGTGAAAAACTGCGGAAAAATTTTGAAATCAAAACTATAAATTAATCATTTAATTCTCATATTTAAAGGAGAAATCCCAACATTTTGTGCCCAGAACTCTGTATGAAGATAATTCCATCAAGTAAACAACACATATATCGGAAACTATCCTAAAATTTTCTTTAAAAAATGACAATAGAGACAGGTATTAAACAGTAGTTTTTTATGTTTCCTCTTTTGGTCTGCTGCGGTTATGAAACAGTTCTTTCTGAACGCAAACCTGAAACAAACGTAAACTATGGAAAGCATTGGAATAGAATTTATGAGCATTGGAAGAAAACAGCACAGTTAAATGAAATAAATGATCCCTTATAAATGAACTATCAATCTAAATCTTTCTTGCAAAGCAAGATTTAGATTGATAATTCAGAGAAAAGGCAGTCAAATATAATACTTAATACAAATATAGTAGTAATATATATTTTTTATGTAAAGCATTAATTATGATGAATAAAATTTGTTAAAATATTTGCAAAGTGTCTTTGTAAAATTCTTATTTTAATGTTAAATTTTTCTTATTAAATTTGCTTTAAGAAACATATTTTATATAAATTAAAATCTATACTTAAGGTTTACTGTATGTGTTTCTAAATAGGTTAAGATTTGAATTGCTCAAGTTTTATAACATTATGAAATGAATAAGTAACTCAATGAAATGTACAAAGCATTCTCTAAAATTTTTTCCATGAGAAAATTAGATCTCACCTTTTAAGTAGCAATTTTTAGGTTGCATTTTCATGCTCCTTGCATCTTGTTTCATCACAGTTTTAACAGTACTTTAGACTACAAACTACTGCTAAAAATGGCTACTGAAATAGGTATGTAAACCGTACATGGCTACTTGACTGGAATATATCTAAACTGCATTGAATAAATTCATAATAAATATTTTTTTTTATTCCACGAATTTCAAATAGTTCCTGCGACTTTTTGTCAAATCTCTTCTTTCCTCACCACAACCATCTATATTAATATTCGTTTAATTTGGATGAGGAAATATCTAAAATACTGAACTACCGTCATTTATGTGAACTTCATAAAACTCTCTTTTACGATAAAATGTTTCAAACAAAATTGGATTTCGAAACTAGAATTCTGTTATTACAAAAATAAAATTACATTTCCTTATTTGATTATAAGAACAAAATTAGTTTCTTCGAAGAACTAATTTTATTTTTATAATCACAGTATTCTGTGTAAGAAAGAAAATTTGTCTTCTTTTGTTACGCAGATACGTTCATTGCAGACAGTTTATTTTCTGATGAGAGCTCTGATGTTAATCTTACCTAGATTCAATCTTTTTACAATGAATAAAGCTAGAAAAAGAAAAAACATGTCAGGAACAACAGAGTTGAATGGAAGGTTTGAAATTTTTCAACATGTTTGCCAGCCAAAACTATATAACCAGTCTTATTGTAAAAAGGAAGACAAACCCTTGTAAATGTTTTTTGTAAACTCTATTAACAGAGAGAAATTTTAGGCTTATATTAAAGGCCATCAAATGTAAGATATTCAGTTTTTGTATTAATTAAACAGTTATCTTATTATCTTGCCGTTACTCTCGTTTTTACTTTCGTCGGCTCTCACCAGGACGCAAACTAGTTAATGTATTTAAGTGCAGATTTCTTGAGTTCGATAAAGACCCTTTGGCAGCTTTCGTAGAGCATCATTCCTAACCCCTTTTAGCTAGATATCTCTAGTATTTGTTTTATTACAAGGCATTAATTTAATACAAAACTTCTGGGAAACCTTACAACTCGCTGAGAGGAGAAGCCAATGAAAACTTTTCTTTCTATCTATCTATTATTATTATTATTTAACATTGGACTGCAAATCTTGGGGAATGTATAATCAACACTTTCGCCATAATGCTGAGAAGTATTTATGAGTTTATATAAAATTTCTAACTCCAGACGGGTTTATTTTACCAAGCTGGTAATCGAAACCAAGCATAATTATAAATCTCATACTTCGAAACATAAAATTGATGAAAAAGTAGGAAAAGTCATTAATTTCTCTTAAAAATGCTGATATCTTTGCTGATATATTTAGGACATGAAACAGCACATAATAAAATTGATTAAAAAACTATTAAATATTTATAACATTTCAGGAGTTCAGGAATATATACTGAAAGGAACATTCTGAATTTATACAGAAGTTTCGAATTAGGCTAGAATTTTGGATGCTTCCATAGCTTCCATAGCACCTGCTCATATTTGGGATGTAATTTGATGAAGATATTCGAATTTGCTCAGGATATCTTCACCTGTAAAAACTGTTAGTACTTGGAGTTTTAAAAAATGGGTTAAAAGGTTTTGGTTATTTATTTATTTATTTTTTTGGTTTTCTGGCATGTTTATACACAAAGTTTGTACGAACTCTTAAAACACAAATATATTAACTCAGTGTTTGAAAACAGTGAAAAATGTCAAAATGTTTAATTTATTATTTTTTGTTTTGAAGCTGAGGATGACAGTGATTTGCAAAGCAATTTAAAATGGAATCCTAACTTTCAAAACTTTTATTTTGGAAAACATGTAAGATGTTATTTTTATGGAAATAAAATTGTGAGTTTTAAGTATATAAAAATATGTATATGATATATAAGTGTATATTTTAAATAGATAGAATTTCATGCGTTCGCTTATTCGATTCGTTAGAGAATTGCTTACTTGTTTACTAGTAAAGCCTAGTAAACTAGTAAGCACTTTCTATAAGATGTCAGATGAAAAGTTTTGCATCAAAGAGACAGAGTAACCAATTTAAAGTTTCAAACACAAAAATGAGTTTTAACCTGAGCAAGACTGTGACCAAATCTGAAAGCTGCAGAACCAAAAACGTTGAAGACGCTGGGATCAACAGTGTCATCATAGTCTTCGTACTCCATGGTATTATCAATTTTCAACTCGTATTCGTTCATGGCATCTTCCCCTGAAAAATGTTAACACAGGCAGGCACTTAATTCACATTTATATCGGAATACTAAAAACAAATTTTATAACCGACAACAATTAATGGGGTTTAAAATTTACTATTAATTTACGTATTTTGGTTTTCAGCTTGTTTTTATAAAAATGTAATTGCTCATTAATTAATATGAATAAATAATTCTCCTAATGTCCTAAATAATTCTCTTGAATTATGCTTTTATGACTAATGCAACTATGAGCTATCATTTCAGATATTATTTGTTGTGTAAGATAATATTGTTAAATGATGCAAATTTTCGAGCATATCTTTACTGTTCAAAATGATGAAATATATATATGTGAAAAAAACAAATTAATAAACGTTTCCATTGAGCATTAAACTGCAGTACTTAAAGTATAGTTTATATGCTAATACAAGATTGCTAGGTAAGCAGAAAATGAAAGTATTAAAGAAATAAATTTATAAGGTATTTCTCCCGCCTTCCTAGCAGGCCTTCGTGGTGTAGTGGTCAGCACGCTCAACGCGTAATTGAGAGGTCCACGGTTCGGTCCCGGCGAAGGTGTTGCTAATTTTTCATCTCTTCAGCTTTTCCAATTAACCTAATATGTCTACAAATTTATCTGATTCATAACAAATATAAGAGTTGATTAAATGTGTAAGCAAAGATAACAAAATAAAAGTAATATTATGCAATTATATATGAAAGCAAAAAGACGTAAATTGCGTTGTTTTAAACGCATCGCAAAATGCTAAAAGCACTTATCAAACTATCCAAACTATTCAGTAAGCTCTCTGTAACTTAGTTGTTAAGAACATCAAAAAAACATTAAAAGCTATCATAAATTCACCCAGTGCAGCTGTAAATGTCAAACTAGAGTTACGACTTGCACGTCCCATATCTAAAGGACACGTGTATGATTTCTTGATCTTTTGCTTCTTTTATTACATTCTTGATTGTATTCTGGTGTTTGTGTTAGGATGGATGAATTTATAATTCTTTCCTGTTATTTTTTAAGTTTTCAGCAACCAAATTGCTTTGAACTTAATGTTTATTTTGATAACTTGATGCGTAGTTTTAGCCTTTTGTTACGCATATCAAGCAATTACAGTCTCCTTTTAATAAATGGCTTTAAGTTCAGTTATATATTTTTATTTCAGCTTTTTAATTTAAATATTTATTTCTTCATTTGCTCTGAATGAAGGATATTCATTTCATTAAATATTTTTATTGTCTACTCGCTTAGCAAACATTTAAATCTTTATATATATGTGTCCCGACTGAAACTCAGATGTAATTGCTTCTCGAAGTCATTGTCCGCATACACCGTTTAGCCATTGTAAGTCATTGAAAAGACAAAAATATGGAGAATCTGATATAGAATCTGAGTGGATATTTTAGGTAACTCCTCCATAGCAGATGTTATTTCGAATTCTATGTTTGAAATAATGCTCTCTCTTTTTTTTTAAAAAAAAATCGTATCAGATAAACTAACAAATACATGAAAAGAAATAAAAAGCTGTTTCTAATATCTTTCGAAATAAATTATAAAAAACTAGCATTCCATTACAGGGGAACATTTATAAAACTGCCATTCTGATTTTGAAACAGCATTCCCTCTCAAATAAAATAATGCATATTCCTAACTATAAAAGTCTCCAACTTGGTTAACAATTTGAAGTATACGGAACAAAAATACTCTGTTATTAAAAATGCATGCTTGTAGCTTATTTATTATTTACTTATCTATAGATATGGTGTTGTAAGGATTCTAAGTTTTACTAACGTTTATTTTATTTTAAAACTGTACTATCACTTCTTATTTTCTACTTCCGGCCAGAATTAATGCTTTAACTTGTTTATGCAAATTGTCTTGCTAACGCCAAGTACTTAAGTTGTGGCTTTTTGCCAAGAGAGAGAGAGAAGGAGTTTTAGGAAGCAAGCCAGTTGCCACTGTAGTTTTACGAGTTTTCACTCTGTTGCTGGTTGCCTTTAAGGCCAGAGGTTTAGCCCTCTTGATATTTGCAGACGTATCGTAGTTTTAGCAGCTCGGCGTACTACATACGTACCTTTCTTTAAATAAAGGCCAATCTTAGTGCTAGGCATTTGTATACTAATTCAAAGTTAGCTTTTAGTTATAGTTTTTATATTCTTACGTTCAGACCACAAGTGGTTGGTCTCTGTATTCCGAAGTTCGGAAATACCTGTAAAGTATTGAAAATAAAGGGTTTCGTATACCCTTCCTGCTTGTGTTGTCTACTTCACACCTTCCTGAACATAGCTTGAGTAAGCTCCCTGTTCCTATTCAGAACCATTCATGTTTACAAGGCAAATTAAGAGAAGCACAAGTCCTGACAGTGTTACTAAAATCGGAATGAATGAATTCTATTAGCTTGTTTGCACTTGTTTTTGTCAAAAAAATATCTCTTCCTTATGTGCTTCAAATATTTAATATAATTTATTTATATGAAATCCTTTCTGGTAGTTTTATATAACATTTCATATAGATTCTTTATCAGATTTACGAAGTGTTGGTAAACTACCGTATATTTAAAACTAGGCCAATACTGATTTGCCAAAGTGCAATGACTTTTGTGCTATGACCAGACTTCGAGTTGTAGCCGTAATATATATATATATATATATGTACATTTACTATATACATGCATTACATACATTATATGCATAATATATACATAAATTAAATTATAATTTTTAATAGTAAATCTTTTTAACCTGTTATGCTCCCGACAAAAATTCATGATTCCATGTATTAACATTTTAGATGTGAATGGTACTATAGAAATTATGTATCAAAATTACGATTTTAAGCTCCATTTCAATTATATCTTCATTCTTCAAATTTGCACGAAAACATACTTAAACGCTGTTTTACGAGAAATATATCTTTAGGAAATTAAAATGCGCATGAGCCATTAGTTTAAAGATAAACATGTTACTTGAATTGGCAACTGAAAAGATATTTCATTTATTCAGCTGTATCAGTAACTATTAAATCTAACTATTTGTGCACGATATTTAATACGCCTGTCATTAAATAAGAGACTGATTTTACATGAAAATATAGTTTTTAAAATTTAAAATTTTATTTTCAACTCCAGTATTCGAATTTCATGAACAAAACTATAGTCTAACTCGTCTCACCTAATAATAGAGGCAGAAATTCATTGTAAGTTATATGCTGTAATTCTGCGATTAAGATTTTACGAGCTTCTTGAAATAACATTTCATCAGTCAGATGGGGATTGATTTTATTCAGCTCATCCGCTAGCCTGTTATGCTCCCTGTACCACAGAGTGTGCATGACTGTTAACTCTACAAGCATGTTCACGCGTGGGTCACCTAAAAAGATAAAATTAAGATAAAGTTAATTATATTTATAAAACAAAAATCATTAAAAATCATAAAGTTTCTTCTTTCTTGCTGGAGTTGTGGTATTATGAGGGAACAAATATGAATATTCTCTTTCCCAGAACTCATTTGAAGATAACCTTACTGATAAATACATTTTGAGGAAAAGCGTGGTATGTACCGCCGTGATAAAAAGGCATTTCGATAGACACGTATAAATGAGATTCAATGACAAGGTTAATGAAATGATTTAAAGGAGCTGGTTCCGAGCAAAGGAGACCAAAAACTGTAAGTACCGAAGAAAGCTTTGCAGGAAATGCTTTCATCCGGTTAATTCCTAGAATAAATTGTGCGCTATGTATGCATTCATTACACATGGATAAATAACAACATGAGGTGGCTGTCTAACTAGTGTAGGCCAAATTATATTCTATGTTCTTAAATTAACTGTAATACCTTATTATTGAACACTATTTATCATAGCTTCGCTTTTCAATATGCTTTCTTTATTTTATTAGCAATACATAGAATAATGACAGATTTTGATTCACTAGAGCGAACAGAACAAAGAAAATCAAGAATTAAACAAAATCCTTATTAAGTCTTATAATACATTCGAAATTCCATAATGTATTTCTAGAAGCTATTTTCAATTATAAACAGTCATATGTTTTCAGACTTACGTAACAGTATCCCAGCTAAAACTAAATAATTTTTAGATGTTAAGCCTGACTGCCCAGTATGGGGAAGAAGGTACTACTACTACCACCACCATCCCCACCACTACTGCTACTACTACTACTATTACTACTAGTAATCATAATAGTAAATCATAATTCTAAACTCAAAGAAAATTATGCCTTTTGTTTTCAAGACAAAAAGAATTTGTAATAAATCCGTATAATGTTGAAAATTATATTAAAAATAGATAAAAAAATTACTTTAGGTTTTTAATATTATATGTGCATATATTTAATTAGCACGTTTTACCTGCTGCAAAGCATTTCAAAGGCTCTGTCGGGGTGCCGCAGCTGTAGCCATCTCCTTCAGAAAATGTCATGTACGGAGTATTGTTGATAAGTTGTGTCCGAAGTTGACCTAAATTGGAAAAAAATTAAGTCATAAAAGCATTGATTAAGCAATCATTTTAAAATGCATTTGATGAACATTTTCATCTTGAATTCTATACCATTGTCAGAAAATTTTCCTCTAAAGTAGTAACAGAAGAATCGAAAAATCGCAAAAAGTAGCATATGATATCATAGAATTGCATCGTTTGTGTCAATAACTGCAAGACTGTATGGCAGGTTAAAAAACAGTTAAAAATACATATGGCACGTATGACAGGCGAAGGCAGGAGAATTTTGTCAATAAACAAAAGAAATGAAAGGGATTATTCAAACGAGGAAGGTATTTAGGCAGCTACAAAACACTGATTGATACCTCATTGAAAAACTCTGGAAAACCAACGAGTGCTAATGTATTAGGTTGTTGCTGTCAATACGCTATTTTAAAACTTTTGCTAGAAATGTTGCTAATTTCTTTGCAGGGTTTTTAGGTACACTTTAATAAAAGTCGATGGTACATTATAAACGAAAATTTTAATTTGCGTTTCCTATGGATATTGGTTTGGACTAGTAACTGAAACAAATGTCATTGTAGCTGAACATTCACTATAATCGGAATTGCCTGTAAGTGTCTTGTATTTAAGAAATATCATAAAACTCAGGGAAAGACGAACAGTTCGATAGAAAGCTATGATATTAATGGTTGACTGTGCCCAGTCTTATTGTCCCCAATTCAAGATAGGTTAATCGAAACAGAAACTGTAATCTCCTTTCCTCTAAGCGGTTTGAGGCATATTCTGTGGCATTTTCAAAGCCAATTTTTGGCTGATATGGTTATTGTATTTACAACAGGAATATGGTAAATAATTTCTATATTGTTTTCAAGTGGAGCCCTTGGTTTGGAAACTATTGAAAAGGCAATGAAGAGAAGACACATACTGATTTGAATAAGTATCATATGCACTTAAGAAATGTACTGAGTATTTTGTTTTTGTCTGCTTCAAATTGGGAGTTTCTGCTTAAGGTAATTAACATAGTTTTTAGGTGTTCTGCTATATTACAAGAAGTTTCTTGTAGCTAAATGCTTAAAATATTAAGTACTAGATAAGCTTCTTAAATTTAGAATTTAAATTCAAATGCATTGCAAAAACTAGCTAGCTGAACTTCTCCTGAAAGAGAATTATTTATCATTCTTTTTTTCATGTTTCATTTGATCTTTAATCATATAAAATAAATACCTCTGCTAAATGATCGCAGTACTTTCGTTTGTTGTACTGTAGATCCATAAATAGCTGAGCCGTCTAAAAATGAAGTAGCTTTATTTAGCTGCTCTCTTCTTCCTAAGTAAAAAAATGAAACAAAAAAGAATCACTCAACGATTAAGTCTTTACGCAAATAGAAGGAAACAAAGTTCTTAATTCAGTTATTATAAATATCAGCTGCTAAATATATATTACTGAACATAATCACATGTAAGGCATGTAAAGTACAAGATACACCATAACCAAGGCACAGGCTGATGATAATCACATGTAAGGCACAAGAAATACACTTTTTATAAGAAAGCCTCATAACCTGTATTAAATACCAGCATTATTGAAAATAATTTAATTACAATGCAAACGAGACAGAAATGCATGCATGGTTAAAATTTTAGATAATTTAATAACAATGATCCGAATTCTGAATAATGTTCCGAAGCAAAGAAATTTCAAAAAGCAGTTCTCCAAGCATTTGCCTACGCCAACAACAGCAGCTGTTCACAGTATGTAGTCGAGCTGACTTTGATGGCAGTTAAGGGTTTTGCAGTTTATGGGGCATAAATTCAATGATGCCAGTGCTCGTATGTTCGCAATGGCTGGCGAGTGCTGTCGTGAAACCAATATACCTTTCTAATCGGTGAAAGATCTGAAGAACACGCCTACCGTAGCAGTAATCGAAGAGCTTGTGTATTGATGACTTCCTCTCGGGGCTTGACTCAGGAGAATTCCTGGGAAGTACTGGCTAGGATCTGTACTTAGACAGTCTCAACCGCGAGGATATAAAATCAGTCTTCACAGGCTGTGCTTGAGTTTACTCGGGACGGTGTAGGCTCGGCAGGGACCGTACTGGTACTGTCTCGTCTGCCCCAGGGCCGTGGGGTCGCAACATATTAGATGAATAAGTGCAGAACGGCACTTAATTCCGATTGGCAATAGCCTTAGAACGAAAGTTCTCCTGTCACGGGAGTTGTATTGATGACTAGTCTGTTTAGCTGGGGACCTTGTTTCAGTGCCCTTTTAACAACCCTATTTATATTAAATTTCATTCACTTTGTTACCCATCATAACAGTTACAAAAATTTTTGCCGTTTCCGAGAACTTACTGAGCTCCATATATTTAATATTTTGAGATATAATAATCAATAGGAAATTTTGCTTGTAAAATTAATTTACTGCTAACATACTGAGCAGTAGGAAAAAGTAACTTTACAGTAGTTTCTTCACAAGTTTGCCTGTGATTCTCTACCTTGCGTACAAGAATATATCTCAGCAAGGATTTTTCCATAGTAGAGTTGCTATTCTAAACTGGGTATAGGCAAATTATTTTGCTTTATGTTTCCACCAATTTAACATAGACGCAGTAAAATTATTTTTATAATCTCTGCCTTACGGTATTTATTGTGTTGTATAATACACTGTTTTTCAGTATTCAATTGCTCTCATATTGTTAAAAATCCGGTTTTGGTATTACATTCTGAGGACTTCGACCATGTATGTCTCAATATAAATAAGCAAAAATTAGTGCAATTTCTCAATGACAAATTTTAATACCTTTCAGTGTTTTTTTTTCATACTAGCAACCTTATTTTATTTAATTTTATAGAATTTATGTCAATTTTTTATGCACATACCTGCACTCAAAATACCCTTAAAGCTCAGCCGCCATTTTTTTTCAACAATTAAGTACTATACCTCCAAACTTGATGCATTTGTGCCTCAATTTGAAACGATGACTTGCAAATTTAGCAAAGTATGCATTTATTAGAATCGTATATCCATGCATTAGTCTCAAATCTTCATTTGGAATGCCAGCTACTATTAGAATCCCCCCTCCGTTCATTTCCTCAAACTGTGGATAAAATTGACAAAATTGACTTGTACCCCTTTTCTAGAATTTGTCAGAGCTTCATGCGCCTCACAGACTTTCTGCTGCATAAACACAAATATCCTCATTAATCTTATAGATGACGAAAAAGATGAAAAGATTCTTAACGTATGTGTTACAACCCGAACGCGAAATGAGCGAAAGTTTCTCTTCTGCCAGTGGCAACGAGGAGTCGAAAAACAAACTTGGAAGAGAGCGGTCGCTCACTCGGTTTTCTCTTGATAGAATTTGATACGAAGGGAGGATAATCCCCATCTTTTGATTTGAAATTAATCTCGAATTATGTATATATTGTAATATAAAGATGTGTGTAAATAAAAGTCATTAAGACTTAATTGTAGTAGTGATTTGAATCGAATATAGAGATTGAAAGCTCTCCCAAATAGAACTATGGATAATAGAAATGACAGTATGAATGTTAAGAATATCTTCATCTTTAAGAAGTTAGATTTCAATGTGAAGTCGGAGCTGCAAATTAATATTTTCATCAGATCTGTGTCAGAACTAGATAGTTAGAAACTATCTAGTTTAGAAACTGACATTTGCGACCTTTTCATTCTTTCATTCGGCTTGGTTTCTGCAATTAATAAGAATCAAAAAGAAGTTCATGTGCACATACTTCCAGTTCAGCATCTCCAAGAAAAGGAATACAAATGAATGTGTAAATGATCTTAATTATGCTTACTCCCTGGACTCTACTTTTAAAATCAGACTTCTCACGAGACAGAAATTATCTCCACGATTTTTATCTCTCCCAAAATGAAAAGCAAAGAAGTTCTTTCCAAGGATCTAATTAAGATCCTCCCGATCACTGTTAGGAATCAAAATTAACAGAATAATTAATACTCCAAAATGAAGCCCAAAAGTTTCTTGTAAAGACAAATCTAGCTCTAATAAAATTTTATACACATTCGAAACATAAAAAGAACCAGGAAATTAATATACTTCATAAATAAAATTCCTCAAAGAAAATCCCTCAAAAGGGAAAAAAAGGAAAAATAATATAAGACTATGACCAAGTGAGTCAAACTGATCGAAAAATCAATAAAATAAATATGGAATCAATGCTCGAACAACGCCGAGATCCCCTTGTCCAGCTGAATGATGCTCAAATCAACTGCGTGAAATGGGTATCCGAATGCATTCCTAGCATTTAGAACACTCACGGCCAAAAACCGGTTCTATACATGTTGGAGAATGCATCAAGTTAAAGAAATCTTTGGAGCTGATGCTTTCGATGTCAAGTCCTTACAAAATATTGTATTTCAAATCAGCTGCAAATTTAAATATTGCTGCATATACCGTGATGGATATCACCGTATATCAAAATGTACAGCCCTAAGTTCCAGTTGCATAAACTGCCACCTATATAACAAATGGAACAGATAATCAACTTGGCCCACCTGGAATATTTTCTAAATTGCAAGATCTACATCCATGAGTACGCTAAAACAAAAACAAGCACATATTACTAATATGCGCATTAATTCCAACCTCAACCCGAGCTAAGTACAACTTTGCACAAATACAACTGCTCTGACTTTCCATCGAAATGATGTAAATCACTTCGAGCATTGTCAGCGGCATCACGCCTCAACAAATTCCTCACGGAAAAGTGATTCGATTTAATATCTCTACAAGAGCCATATCGCATTTCGGTAAAGGTAAGCGCCCTTCCAAACAGCTGGAACATCATTCAATGCCATGCAGAAACTACTAAGCTGTTAAAACAGCTATCATCTGCATTAACAAATACTGGTTGCCAATGAATTCTCTAATCGAGATGTCACCTCTACCTCCATTTTAAATTAAGAACCCTCTTTCCTCACTTCGTTTTTCTACTTATAGTCCCGAGAAGACTTTAATATCTCCCTAAGTACCCTGCACACTGTTCGGAATAAATTTCTGAACTCTTCGCACGCGGATTATGAAAGAAGAGACGTACTAGAAAATTTCATAGATGCAAGCAAACAGATTATACACAACAAAAATACAGCCCCTTTTTCCTTTCTCACACGAATGGGAAGACGGTGGCCTAATATTACACTCTTTAGTTGTAGAGTCATTAGGTTAATTGGAAGCAGAAAAGATGAAAAATATGCAACCGCCTTCGCCGGGAATCGAACCACGGACCTCTGGAATACCGGCCCAGCGTGCTACCGTTACACCACGAAGGCACGCTAGGGAAGTGGGAGGGCACGACTAGGGTTTTAGGGGACCTAGTCGTCAAATCCTGGGTGCGGAGAATCATCATCCACAACCCTTTTAGTTCGCGTGCCACTGTAGAGACATTAGGATTTTTTTTGGAAGCCAGAGAGATGAAAAATTAGCAACCGCCTTCGCCGGCAATCGAACCACGGACCTCTGGAATATTGGCCCAGCATGCTATCGTTACACCACGAAGGCACGCTAGAGAAGTGGGAGAAATACCTTATATAGTTATTTAAAAGGTCATAATATCACTAACTGGAGAACACTGACAGAAGTCTCAACCTCCGCCCACAGAATAGTCAATTTCATAGCAACCCACAAAAACTGACAGCTGCTCCATGAAAAGATTCAAATTTTCATATACATCAGTCTCGTTAATGAGAAGCTCTGAAATGCGCATGACAAAGAACTTAAACAACCTCCCCAAAATCCTTCATTAAAGCTATCTAGATCCACTGTCTAAGAGCTCACAAAATTAAGTATTCAAGCAGCAAGTCCGCAGTCAGTTGGGGTATAAAGGAACTCAGAGCTGAAGGGAAAAGGACAATTACGCTGCGAAAACATCTCAGGTCATCTCGTACGAGTGAAGAAAGAAACATATTCTAAAAACATATGCGTAACAAAAAGTAAATTACAAAAGGAAAATAAGCTTAACAAAGATTGATTGCTAATCGGGAAATATTGTGCACAATACAGCGATTCGTATGGAACACTTTACAAAATATGTCGTAATAAAAGTTTCAAGCGTTTACAAATAAGATTCAGCAGAAATTTCCAATCACAAAACTAACAATAGTGATGCGAGAAGCACCACTGTCACTGACATCCTAAATAATATATTATTAGATGATATGGAGCCCTGAGAAGCCTTTTGAGCCCTGAGGAGGACACATACGCTCAAAACGAAAATGTAGGAGTCCTACAACATACTGCACAGCTCAACGATTGCGATTTTACAAAGAATGAAGTTACAAACAATATC